AACCATCAATAAAATAAAAACATCAGTCCAGAAATACAATAATTTTGATGAAAACTTGCTCATCAATAATAAAAGTACTTGAATTAATGCAGCTGTCAGAGTCCCTCTTTCTTCTTCCCCCTCCTTCTTATGGCAACTTGAGAGCAAAGCAGGAATGCTTTATGAATTGACAAAAGCATTGAATTGTCCCATGGTGAGTTGTCCTGCGGCAACTTGGCCACAGTGAGTTGACCATGGTTAGTTGTCTTAGGCCCCTTATGACTGCAAGTGAGACCAGAGTTTCCACTGCTAAGCAAGGGGGTTATTAAGTGATTTTACAACCTTTTTTGTTCATGGTCATTAATTGAAAAATAGCAACTGTTAAGTGAATCAGGCTATCGATACCCAAATCTGGATTTCCCCCATTGACTTTGCTTGTAAGAAGCCAGCTGGGAGGGTCACCAATGGCAATCAAATAACCCCAGAATGCTGCCAACTGTGGTAAATCCAGGCTGGTTGCCAAGTGCCTGAAATTTAATCGCACAATCCTGGGGATGCTGCCATGGTTATAAGTGCAAGGATCGGTTGTAACTAAAAAAAAAAAAAAGTGTGAAAAAATTTGTAACTTTGAACGGTGGCTAAACAAATAATTTTAAATTGAGGCTTGTCAGCCATTGCCTCAGATTTGAAGGAGGAATTGAAATAGGGACCCAGTGGAAAAGAAACTTTAACAAGAGGGTTGACTTAAGGATAAAGGACAGTCCACATTTGCTCTTATGTGGGAGATGGAGGCTGATAAGGGAGAGGCACATTTTGAAATGAGAGAAGATGGTTTTGCTCTCCTTTGCCAAGGTTATGTAATATGGAGACTGTCTTCATTCCAGGCTATCTTCATCTCTCCTTGTCACACAAAACCAGAAAAGATGCCTCCTCTCTGCCAATAGTTATAGAACAAGAAAGAGCTAGCTGAAGGTGAAAGAAACTACACTGAAGGTGACTAAGAGAAGGTGTTACCACCCTCACAACTCACGTTAATTCTTCCTTCAAGGAAATAAGAGAAACTTCCTTGAGGTAAAACCATCCAATAATTAAAGGAATGGATAGCAAGCAGTAGCAGCATCTTTCTATTAACCCAAAGAGCTATTTCAGAATGGCTTCTGGGATCGTGGATAATACAACCATTGGTTTAGTGACCATTTGAAATTACAAATTTTACAAATGTGACTTATGATGGTTTTTCACACTTGGAACTGTTGCAGCAACTCCCGTGGTCATGTGATTAAAATTCAAAATGCTCGGCAACTGGCATTTTTTTGAGGGGGGGGGGACTGTTGCAGTGTCCCTGGTCATGTGATCACCTTTTGCGACCTTCTGACAAGCAAAGTCAATGGAGAAGGCAGATTCACCTAAACAACCATGTGACTAACTTAACAACTGCAGGGATTCACTAAACCACTGTGGCAAGAATGGTCGTAAAATGAGGCAAAACCAGAGGTGGTATTCAGCAGGTTCTGACCAGTTCTGGAGAACCAGTAGTGGAAATTTTGAGTAGTTTGGAGAACTGGCAAATACCAACCCTCTGGCTGGATATTTTACAGTATCTGTCAAGCCCGAAATGGACATATGTGTAGCCATTTTAGTTAGGCTTACTATATATTCTTTTTCTTACTTTCTCTTTGGTGGTCATGGGAGAAGGGTTTTGGGCTTGCCACATTCCTAAGTGGGGAGGAGTGGAGATAGAGTTGTTTAGGCTAGGTGATTCTTCTTCCTGTGGGAAAACAAACTGACTGTGCTTAGGCCCCTTGAGGTGGAGATTTATGACATCAAGCAACATTGAATTACTTCTGTTGGAGAATGTGACTTCTAGGGGTTGTGTCAGATCCGGAATTATCACAGACTTTGCCAATTTGATGCTTTCCTAAATAAAAGAAATTTTCTTGGAAAATAAACTTTGCTCTTTTCTTTTAAAATGGATTTTGTCACTTGGAAACCTGACATTATTCCAGATAATGTCCCCTGCTACGCCCACAAAGCCACGCCCACAGAACCGTTAGTAAAAAAAAAAATTGAATCCCACCAGTGGGCAAAACTCACTTAACAACCGTCTCACTTAGCAACAGAAATACTGGGCTCAATAATGAACCGTAAATCAAGGACTACCTGTACACACAAATCCAGAAACTGAGAATCATCCCATGTATAAACAAACACTGTCTAGGCGGGTATTGAAGGATCTGTTGAAGGTAAATCACTGAACTGACAGCTGTAAATTCTGATAAATTGGCAACCTGCCAGAAGGCTAGAGGAGCACAAAAGTTGCTCCTGGCTTCAAACCAGAGAAGATGGATGATTTGGGAAATTATAGGCCAGTAGATTGGATGTCTACACTAGACGGTGATACTTGTGAACATATGTAAAGGAGCTCAGCAATTAGCAAGGGCCAGCATGAGTTTGTCACAAACAAATTATGCCAGATTAATCTTATCTCCCTTTTTGAGATAGTACTAGTATTACTAGGGAGAATGCTCTGGGCACAGTGTACCTTGATTTCAGCAAAGCATTTAACGAAGTGTCTCGTGATGCTTTGATGAATAAAATGGTAAAATGTAGGCTAGAGGTTCCTAGTGATTCACAACTGGCTAGTGACCACACCCAGAGAGTCGGTACAAATGCTTCCACATCAGATTGGAAACCAGTTAAGAGAGATCCACGGGACTCTGTTTTAGCTTCCAACGTATTTGCTAATGATCTGAATAATAGGATTAAGTGGATGATTATTTAGGGATGACACAAAACTAGGAGTGTCTGCCACTTTAGAAGGTTCAGAAAGATCTACACAGGATTGAACCGTGGGACAAAATGAACAGGGTGAAATTTAACTGGGAGAAATGTTGGAAAGTTGTATCTTACGATTGATGATGAATGTATTTATGATTATGATCATTATTTGTAGCTTGTTTGACCAATAAAAAAATTCTATTCTATTCTAAAAGGAAAAGGTCAAGTAATCTAATCAAAAGGTCAAGTAGAGAAGCAACCTAGATCTAAGGAGAACTATTAACCAGTGGAACAACTTGCCTCCAGAAATTGCGGAAGCTCCATTGCTATAGTTTTTAAAGAGGTTGGACAGCCATATGTCTGAAATGGTATAGGGTCTCCTGCTTGGACTAGAAGACTTCCAAGGTCCTGCCAACTCTCTTATTCTGTTCTGTTCAAGTATCCAATAGTAGAGGATATGTTCCTCTAATCTGGAGGTCCTCAAACAAAGGTTAGAATTGCAACTTACAACCATAATGGAAAGTAGAATTTCGGCAATAGGTTGTTGCGATTGTAAGCTGAGGTACAATTTTACAACCGGTTTTAGGAAGGTCATAAAGTAAGTCACTATGATCATATATTGGATCCCATAGTTGCTAAACAAATCATGTGGTCAATAAGTGAATCCAGCATATCCAATGGATTTGTGCTGCTTTCTGCGATTCGCAATCCCAGTCAAATATCTATGGAATGCTGCAGTTGGTCATAAATATGAACAGGATCCAAGTTTCCAAAATGTGATCATATGACCATAGGGAGGAGCAGTCATAACTTCAAGGACAAATTATAAGCAGCTTTCATTAAAGTCCATCGTTAACTTTGAACAATAATTAAACTATCAGTTGTAAATCGTGTACCACCTGTAGCATAAAGGTTTAGCAGATTCTATATCAAACATGGGCTGGAGTAGATTATCTCTGAAAACTCTGGGAGGGAGGGAGGCCTTTGAAGCAGTGTTGACTCCCAGCAACTGCATGGACTGGTCCCTACAATTTTAGAAGTGATTCGCCACTGCTACCTTCCTGGGGCTGAGAGAGAAGGACTGGCTCAAGGTCACCCAACTGGTTTCCATACCCATTCATGACTAGAACTTAGGGTCTCCCAAATTCCAACCTTATACCTTAATCACTGTATCAACTTGGCCATTTTAAGGAATGTTTGGAACAGTGAACAGTCCTTCTATGGTATTTTTGTATTAGATACATGATCAGCTTCATTTGAAACTATACTAGTGTTTTTTAGTCACTAGTCAGAATTTTACTCTGAGGTATATTGGAGGTTCCCAACCCCTGGTCTGTGGACCGGTACCGCTCCATAGTCTGTTGGGAATGGGGCCATGCATGCGTCAGGTGAGTGCACAAAGCTTCATCTGTGCATGCGTGGGATCTAGGTTGCACGCGTGAAACCATCCCCTCCCTGAGGACCGTGGAGATCAAGAAGGACCTTAGCGTCCTAGTGGATGTTCACTTGAATATGAGCCAGCAATGTGCAGCCGCCACCAAAAAAGCTAATACAATTCTTGGTTTATAAACAAAGGAATAGAATCCCAATCATGTGAAGAATTAGTACCACTTTATAAAGCCTTAGTAAGACCACATTTGGAATATTGCATCCAGCTTTGGTCACCGCATTACCAAAAAGATGTTGAGACTTTGGAAAATGTGTAAAGAAGAGCAACTAAGACGATTAAAGGCCTGGAGACTGAAACATAAGAACGATTGCAGGATTTGCATTTGGTTAGTCCAGAAAAAAGAAGGACTAGTGGGGACATGATAGTAATATTCCAGTATTTGAGAGGCTGCCACAAAGAAGAGGGAGTCAATTTATTTCCCAAAGTACCAGAAGGCAGGAGAAGAAACAATGGATGGAAACTAATCAAGGAGAGAAGCAACCTGGAATTGAGGAGAAACTCCCAACAGTGAGGACAATTAACCAGTGGTACAGCTTGCCACCAGAAATCGTGGGCGCTCCAACACTGGAGGATTTTAAGAAGATTCTAGACAGTCACTTATCTGAAATAGTACTAGGTTCTCCTGCTTGAGCAGGGGGCTGGACTAGAAGACCTCCAAGGTCCCTTCCAGCTCTATTCTGATTCTGTCACTATCGCCTCTGCTGCCAGTCCGTGGAGCCAGGAAGGTTGGGGAACCGTTGCTGGGTATACAATATTGTCTAACTCTGTACATATTAAGAAACAAAACACTCACTGATGCTGAAGGTCCGGTTCAGGCCAAGCCCCCATGGAAGTCAGCTGTTCTTCCAGCTGGATGATACGCAGACCAATGTACCCCGAAGAACAAAGTAGGAGAACGACCCTATGGGAGACGCAAACGAAGCTTGTTAAAAAGTTAGCATTGGGAAAAAAGTAACATCTGAGACTATCCCTAGTTTAGCCCTTAGTGTAGTACTAAAGAGCTACAAGAGCCAGACTCTAAAATAGTTTGAATAACAGTCATCAGAGCAAATTGGTTTTTAGTCTTCTATTTAATTTTCTTCATTTTAATCATGTTGCATTCCTTTTAAAAAAAAAAAAACTTTTTAAAGCTGTCCAGTCACTGCAACAGTGAAAAGAGTGGCATAAAAAAAAATTTGAACCATTTTCCTTTATTCCTTTACCCACAATTCATATTTAAAAAAATAAAAATCGGATTGTCGGGGAATCTGTTCCTAGCATTCCAGAGGCCCGCTTTAAATAGCAGAGAAACGGATTCCAGCTAACTTCTGCCTAGTTGTATAACAGTTCAACAGTCGAACCAATTAAGCCATAAGGTGGGGAGCTTTTCTTTGCTGGATGTTCAGAAAGAAATTAGGCAGTTTTCTATCTGAAAATTTGGATTTCTGCATCAAGGAATCAAGGTTGGATTGGATGACCTCGATAGCCCCTTCAAACAGCAGGATTTTAAGGTTCACTCACAAAAAGAGGTAGATGATTATAACTGTGTTGAAATGGCACAGTGCAGTCCTCCGGTTTCCTACTGACTTCACCGTCTGCCCTGCCTCTGCCAAAAAAAAGTTAAACACAGTTCATTACAAGATGGTGACAAAGATAACCAGATCCTTGTTTATTAAAACAATAGCAACACCAGGATGATCGGGAAATTTTACTCAGTTTGCAAACAGCATCTCAAGGAATAGAGCTAAATATCAAAAGGGGAATTAATTTACCAACGCATGCAAGTAGTCCTCAAGTAACAACCATTTGTTAAGTCACCGTTCAAAGTTACAACAGCCCTGAAAAAAGGGACTTATGACCATGGTTGTGTTTCCACCAGGGGTGGGATTCAGCTGGTTTGCACCACTTGGGGCAAACCGGCTGTTAAATTCCCTCCCCCCGGCGCTATCTAAGTGGATCCTGGGCAGGGGTGGGATTCAAATTTTTTAACAACCGGTTTTGTGGGCGTGGCTTGGTTGGGGGTGTGTGGCTTGGTGGTCATGTGACTGGGTGGACGTGGTTTGGTGGTCATGTTATTGGCTGGGTGTGGCCAACTCAATATCACTCACATCGAGGCACGCATCTCCTCGCTTGGCCTCTCATGACTGTGGGGATGCTGCAACAGTTGTAAGTGTGAAAAATTGTCATAAGTCACTTTTTTCAGTGCCATTGTAACTTTGAATGGTCACTCCACACAAGCAAAGTACCAGCAAAGGAGGGGAAAAAAAACTCCAGAGAAGTTCCTGAGACAGGAAGTCCAGTCCTGCCAAGAATGTAATAAGGGTTAACAGAGAGGCAGTTTCTGTAAGCAACACCAGAATGTTTCCTTCCTGCCTTCCTTACAGGATTAGGCCAGTAATTTCTTCTAACAACCGGTTCTCCGAACTGCTTAGAATGTTAACAACCGGTTCTAGCGAATAGGTGCGAACTGGTAGAATCCCACCCCTGATCCTGGGTGTTGGCTGCACTGTAATGGAAAAATGGGCAAAGGCCGTTTGCGAGGGAAGAAGGAGGCTGCTTTCCCTCTTTCTTCTCCCTGCTCCTCCTCCTTCCCTCGTGCCGGCTGCTCCGTTTCCTGTTTCTCCATTGCAGCGCAGCACAGCACCTAGCATCCACTTTCAATTTCATTGTACGCATGGTTGTGCATTGACAATAAACGTCTGATTTGATTTGATAATGGGATGAGGTGAGAAATTTAACAACCAGTTCACCCAGGGTCAGGTTGGCCATGGTGGGAGGCTTGTCCCACATGTGCGGAGGAGATTGGAGGACAGGGATGGGACACGCCTCCCATGACAGCCAACCTGAGCCTGGGCGAACTGGTTGTTAAATTATTTGAATCCCACCATTGGTTCCCACGGTCATGTGATCAAAATTTATGTGCTTGGCACCAGCATGTATTTACAATGGTTGCAGCCTCCTGGGCCCTGTGATCTTTATACTTGTGACCTTCCCAGCCAGCTCTGATAAACAAAACCAACAAGACAAGCCAGATGTCCACTCAAAAATATTTATCTTGTTTTTTAGAGTTGTCAGAAGAAAGGGAGTGGCGGGGATTAATGCATACCTTAGATAATTGGGTGGCTGAAGCTTCTGGCACGCAAGATTATTACTGGGGAGCATGATTGATGACTCTTGGCTATGGATGTGTCCCACTGGAGAATATACATCCAGGGGTTGGGGGAAGACCAGGGTCAAGGGTGAGATGAATGTTGTGTCTCAGTGTTGGCTGCACACAGGTAATGCCGACAAGCTCACTCCTAATAAATGATTTTTTTTAAACTCTGAGAGATGCGGCTAGAGACTCATGATTCGAATAGGGGTGGATTATCGGAGCCCTGACACCAGATTCACTTAATGACTTCATCATTCACTTAACAATTGCACTGATTCGCTTAACTGTGGCAAAAAGGTTGTAAAATCAAACATGGCTCATTTAACAACCACCTTGCTTAGCAATGGAAATTTTGGTCCCAATTCTGGTCATAAGTCAAGGACTACCTATATCTACAGAATTACTCCAGTTTGCAGATCTTCTGCTATTACTAATCTAAAGGCAGTTGGTATTTCCCCTCCATTGTTATTACTGTTCAGTTGGGAGAAACTTGTTCAATTGATGGCAGCCGAGATGCATTTTTTACAGCACTGCATCTCCCAAGACCTGTGGCTGAAATTCTGTAGCAAACCACTGATTTACAAGCTAAACAAGCTAAATACAAGCTAAAATAGGCATCTTCCATCTTTATTAGTCCCATGCAACCTGATTTATTAGAATTTCCTCTAGTAAATTTCTTTTGCCTTTGCCCCCAATTTAGCCCACCCCTATCATTTAGCCATGAGTATACCCTCTGTGGCTCTTGAAGGCAGTTTTTTTTTTAAAAAAAGGAACATTCTCTCTACTTCCCAAATATTGTCCACTGTACTGAGAAATTGAGACCAGTTTGGCCCATCCACAATTCTCAAAACTGAAAAGATTGGTTACTTACTTTGCTGTTTTGTCACCTGCTGTTGCTGCTCGCAAGAGGTTTCATAGGGTATCTGGATCCTGTCTGCCACATCTGTTAAATAAGAAGCAAAGCTAAGTACCAGTCAGCACACAGCCTGAGAATTGGAAATGAAAGTGGTGGGTAGTTTGAGTTTTTCAGAATCACTGATCAGCAGTAAAGGAACAGATTAACAGAGTTGGAAGGGACCTTGTAGGTCATCTAGTCCAATCACCTCCACCCAAGCAGGAGACCCTACACCATTTCTGACAAATGGCAGTCCAATCTCTTCTTGAAAGCCTCCAGTGATGAAGCTCCCAAAAGAAGGCAACATCTGTTCCATTGGTTGATATTTCTCACCGTCAAAAAATTTCTCCTTATTTCCAGGTTAAATCTCTCCTTGATCAGATTCCATCCATTATTCCTTGTCTGGCCTTCAGGTGCTTTGGAAAATAGCTTGACCCCTTCCTCCTCTCTGTGGCAGCCCCTCAAATATTAGAACACTGCTATCGTGTCTCCCCTGGTCCTTCTCTTCACTAGACTAGTCGTGCCCAGTTCCTGTAACCGTTCTTCATATATTTTAGTCTCCAGGCCCCTAATCATCCTGGTTGCTCTTCTCTGCACTCTTTCTGGAGTCTCAACATCTTTTTTATAGTGTGGTGACCAAATTTGCCACAGATTAGCATTTGATAGGATAGCCATGAAGGGCTTGGAAAAGACCATTCAGATGCTATGATATGTGTACAAAGATCGGAATTATACTGTTTTCCCTGTGACAATCTACGGAAGCAAAAGTTGGACTCTGAAGAAGCAGACTAAAGAGAACAGTGGTGCCTTTGAATTTTAGTGTCTGTGGAGATTTTCAGTCATCCAGGTCATGGTTATCCCAAAGATACTTTTTCAAAAGGCAACTGGACTTGTTTTTTTCTTGAAGATGTTTTGCTTCTCACCTGTTTTTTCTGGAAAGTTGTAATTTGCATCGGATTCCTGAGAGTTCTACAAAGAAAGAAGAATGAGGATTGGTTGGGGGAAGACATTTTTTAGAGTGTTCAGAATAATCCAGAAGCTTTTTGCTGAAAGATTGAACTGTACTAGGAATAACTAATCCTCAATTTGTGATAGGTCACTTAGCAACCATTCAAAGTTAAAATGAACCTCCTTGGGGATACTCCAAAGGTGCTTTTTCAAGAGGCAACTGAACTTTCTTTTTTTTTTTTTAAAGATGTTTCACTTCTAATCCAAGAAGCTTCTTCAGGTCTTTGGGGGTATTTATAACCTGATAAAGAGTTAGTGAAGATAGCCAAATTGACTGCTTTGATTAAATAACACAACTAGTTTTGTTTCTACTTGGAAAAAGCTTTTGGACTCTGTACTTGTGGTGGAAAAAAAATGAAATGTTGATTTTGGGTTTTGCAGATTAGATAGGTTTGATGTCCAGTGTACAGTGCCGTGATATAGAGGTGGAGCTCTCGCCTCACGATCAGGAGGCTGTGAGTTTGATCCTAGGAGGAGGCTAATATTTGGAATAGACTCTCCTGCTCGAGCAGGGGGTTGGACTATATAACCTCTAAGGTGCCTTCTAACTCTGTTGTTCTATGTTCTATGACCGTGATGGCGAACCTATGGCACGTGTGCCACAGGTGGCACACGGAGCCATTTGTGCCGGCACGCGAGCTGCAGGCAAACTTACCTCACTGCACATGTGTGCACCTCACAACTGATTTTCAGTGGATTTGAGGTCTTTTTTGGCTTCCCAAAGGCTTGAGGAAAGCTTCTTCAGGCATCTGCAGGCTGAAAACTAGCCCTGTTTTGTCACTTCCTGTTTTTCCGAACATACCGGAAGTGATGAACAGGCCTAGTTTTCGGCCTGCAAATCCTGCAGAAGCCTTCCTCAAGCCTTTGGGAAGGCGAAAAACGCCTCAAACCCACCGAAAATCAGCTGTGAGGGACAGTACAGGTAAGGGGGCACGCCTCACAGCTGAGGCGGGTGGGGTGGCACTGCACACGCATGTGTAGGGTTGTGGGGAGGTGCACATTGCCTTCTGGGTGCTGGCATGTGAGTGCGAGCGTGCAAGTGCATGCACAATTTTTGGCACAGGAGCCCAAAAAGGTTAGTCACCACTGTTTTATGTTATAGAAATGGCTAGTTTATATTATTATAGCAAAGTAAAAAGCTGAGATCTTGTTACTACCATATTCTTTATTTAAGGATTTACTTAACGACTGCCACAAACAAGGTCATAAAATCAAGTCAGTCACATAGGTCACATTTTATGACCGTCACGATTTACAACCTTGATGGGCAGGCTCCATTACGGTGGTAAGTTGAGGACTACCTGTACTATACATGAGCCATGGGGTTATATCAAATATGGGCTGCAAGAACTGATACAACTAGAGAGGGAAGCAAAGAAGTAGGAAAAAAAAATATTTGAACACTTTGCTGCCTCCCCATGGCCACTTAGATTTGTAGCCCAGGCAGGCTTTTCAAGATAATTTAGAAGCAATATGGCCCTTGAAAGAATGGTTCTGCATTCCTGATTTACACAAAGTCTAACCATTTATATCCTAATAATATAAATGTGTGAAAGAGGATGTTTATATTATTTGTGACTTGAACATACATACCACGGGTACCTTCAGGAGATGGTCTGAGCTGATGAAAGGTGCACTTAGACTGCTATTCTGACTGCTGTCCTAGAAGCAACCAAAAAGAAAGAAGATTATTTTCTGACAGTTAGAACAATTAATCTGTGGGACAAATGGCCTCCAGAAGTTGTAAATGCTCCAACACTGGAAGTTTTAAAGAAGAGACTGGATAACTACTGGTCAGAAAAGGTATAGGGCCGGGATGGCGAACCTATGGCATGCGTGCCACAAGTGGCATGCAGACCCATTTGTGCTGGCACGCGAGCCGCAGGCAAACTTACCTCACTGCACATGCGTGCGCCTCACAGCTGATTTTTTTTTCAGTTGGTTTGAAGCCTTTTTTGGTCTCCCTGTAATACCGGAAGTGACAAAATGGGCCTATAATTCGACCTGAAAAGCTTTGCAGAGGCGTTTTCCAACTCTCTGGGAGGCTGAAAAAGACCTCAAACCAGTTGAAAAATCAGCTGTGAGGCGCAGTGCAGGAAAAGGGGGGGGAATGCGCACACCAGGGGGTGTGGGGAGGGGGGGCACATTGCATTCTGGGTGTTGGAACACAAGTGTGCGCGCGCAATTTTTGGCACAGGAGCCCAAAAAGGTTAGCTACCACTGGCTTCCTGCTTGAGCAGGGGGATGGACTAGAAGATCTCCAAGGTCCCTTCCAATTCTGTTCTGTTCTGTTCTGTTCACTACTCTACTCTATTCTCTAGAATAATTAATCAGTGGAACAACTTGCCTCCAGAAGTTGTAAATGCTCCAACACTGGAAGTTTTTAAGAAGAGATTGGACAACCATTTGTCTGAAATGGTATAGGGTTTCCTGCCTAAGCAGGGGGTTGGACTAGAAGACCTTCAAGGTCCTTTCCAACTCTGTTATTCTATTCTATTCTATTCTATTCTATTCTATTCTATTCTATTCTATTCTATTCTATTCTATCCTATCCCTATCCCTATCCCTATCCTATTGAAAGATTAGTCTGGTCCAACAGAGTGGAGCTGAGATATCAGAAACAACAGTTGATTTTACTTCTTGGGGTATTAAAAAAGTTTACAATCTCACTTTACAGTATCCAAGACTACCTAATAATTTTGAAAACCGAGGCAAAAATCATGACAAGCATCTTTGTGTGAATTACAGGTAGTCCTCGGGGGCCGTGGTAAGACGCTGGGCCTACGCACCGCTGAGGTTGGCAGCTCAATTTCCTGTGAGCGAATAAACTGCCTAGGGACAAGAAAGGAGCCTCCCCATGTGCAATCACCGATCCGGCTGTTAAACCTGAAGAATCCCAGCCCTATATAGGGTCTCCTACTTGAGCCCCTATGGACTGGAAGATCTCCAAGGTCCCTTCCAACTCTATTCTGATTTTGATTCCAACATCTTGTGATGATGGTGCAGGAAGTCAATTAAGCCACACTTGACGGCCCTGAGCCTATTGAGATTAGATGGGTGGAGATGGATGGGGGAGGATTGCAAAAATAATCTGGGACAGCTATGCAGCAACATTTCCAGTCTGGAGCTTAATTACCTCAAGATGTTTACAAACAGAGCGGAGGAGCTGGTAGGCATTCTCCCGTGACCAGATGGAGCCAAACAGAAACTGCAATAGAGAGCAGAGGACAAACAGGACATTGTAGCAAACAAGCAAATTCAGTCAGAAAGAACACACCTTGCTTCCTTTTTTAAAAAAAATAAATTTTATTCAGTTTTCAAATTTTAAAAACATAAAATAAAATTTTATACATTGTTGTCAACATCAAGACATCTTTTACATCCCCTTACATTTTTCAATATATGTAATTATTTATTCCATTACCATTACATCTTACTCTTGCTATAAATCATTAATAATAAATTAATAAATGTATTAACAGAGGGATACTCTCAAGTTCAAGGGAGGTACTAATACCACTGTATAAAGCCTTAGTAAGACCACACCTAGAATATTGCATCCAGTTTTGGTCACCACATTATAAAAAAGATGTTGAGACTCTAGAAAAAGTACAGAGAAGAGCAATCAGGATGATTAGGGGACCGGAGGCTATAACATATGAAGAACAGTTACAGGAACTGGGCATTGCTAATCTAGTGAAGAGAAGGACCAGGGGAGACATGATAGGAATCTTCCAATATTTGGAAGGGAGGAGGGGGTCAAGCTATTTTCTAAAGCACTCAAAGGCCAGACAAGGAATAATGGATGGAAACCGAACAAGGAGAGATTTAACCTGGAAATAAGGAGAAACTTTCTGACAGTGAGAATAGTCAACCAATGGAACAGCTTGCCCTCGGAAGTTGTGGGAGCGCCATCACTTGAGACTTTCAAGAAGAGATTGGACTGCCATTTGTTAGAAATGGTGTAGGGTCTCCCACTTGGGCAGGGGGTTGGACTAGATGACCTACAAGGTCCCTTCCAACTGATTATCTGTTATTTGTTATCTAAATCAGTATCTTTTATCCTTACACATCAATCTTCTCTATGGCATATTTACATATTCCTCATTCTTTTCCTGATTGCCATTTTATTTTCTTTTTATTTCTAAGCCACTCATACCAGACACACTTTACTTCCTGATGAGGAGAGAGAGAGTCGGTTTTATGCAGCAGGCCCTGACGGAAATAGTCTGAACTGGGATGAAACCATTTCCGGGGTCTCAGCAACTTGTAGTCCAAGACTAGACAACACTGAATTTTGTCTTCCAAAGAAGGCCTGACCCAGTACTGTCACTCAGTTTGTCTGGTCTTTAGCTTTACCATTCAGACAAGGTAATCTTTGCGACGAAGGTTTTCCTACCTTCTCCCCTTCAGTCGTACGGATGCAAATGGCGTTGGGTACCAACAAGGCTGTGTTGGCCTTCTTTAGGACACTGATTTTCAGCACCGGAATGATAACCTGCCCAGAGAAAATGGTGGGACAGAGAGTCAGTCAGAGGCATGGATCGGCTCTTCATTGTTCCTGATGAGACATTGGGGGAAATGACTATGAATGGGTTTACAGGCAGTCCTCGACTTACATCCATTCATTTAGTGACCATTCAAAGTTACAACAGCATGGGGGGAAAAGGGACTGTAAAGTTTTTCACACTTACAACCTTTGCAGCATCTCTGTGGTCAGGTGATCAAAATTCAGACGCTTGGTGACTGGCTCATCTTTATGACGGTTGCAATGTCGCTGAGTCACATGATCCCCTTTTGCGACCTTCTGACAAGCAAAGTCACTGGGGAAGCCAGATTCAGTTAGCAACCGGGTTACTAACTTAATAACTGTAGGGACTGATTACCTTAACAACTGTAGCAAGAAAACTCGTAAAATGGGGGCAACTGCCTTGCTTAACAACAGAAATTTTGGGGCTCAACTGTACCCTTTAAACATGGCAGAAAGCCATCGTGACGAAGCAGAAAGCCTGCATAGTAAAGAGGTGAAAAGGGTTGGAGTCAGGGGTGGGATTCAAAAATCCAGCAACCAGTTCGCTGCCCAGTTGCTGGGTGGGCATGGCCATGGTGGACGTGGCCTCTGGGAACTTCTGGGAGGGCATTTTTTTGCTTTCTCAAGGATCTGGAGGCTTCCCCCGGCCCTCTGGGAGGGTAAAAATGGCCTCCCCCAGGCTCTGGAGGCCCACCGGAAGCCAGAAACAAGCCCGTTTCTGGACTTCCGGAAGGCCCGTTTTTCCTCCCAGAGCCTCCGCGTGTACTTACCTGCATCGAAAATGGGCCACATGAAGACTCCTGGGAGAGGAGGGATAGGCCGGGCCATCTGATCGGTTGAAATACCGGTTGGGCAAACCAGATGAAAACTTAACATTGTTAACGCATAAAATATTTCTCTGGTCTTTTTAGAGTTGCCAACAGAAAGGGAGGGGGGAGCAGTGCAGCCTCTTGCAAAACTGAAAGTGCATTCCACAAATGTTTTCAAAGATAGTAACTAGGTGACAGAAGTTTCTGCCTCGCAAAATTCTAACTGGAGAGCATGATTGATGACTCTTGGCTATGGATGTGTCCCACTGGAGAATATGAACTACAATACACCCAGGGGGTGGAGGGAAAACCAGGGTCAAGAGTAACAATGAATTGTATGCCTCAGAGTCAGCTAAACCCAGGCAATGCCGGCATGTTAACTCCCAATAAATCCTTTTTAAGTTTTAGAAGTTTGGCTCGAGATTCATGATTTAAATGGGGGCGACTACCGTAATCCTGACAAACATCCGGTTCGTCTGAACCAGTTTGAACTGGTAGAATCCCATCCCTGGTTGGAATGGGAGCTAGGATCATATCTGCCCCTCAAGTCTGTCTAGGGCTGGATAGATCTTGAAGAAGATAACTCTGCTTGTCAGTGATTGGTTGAGGTGGTTGCAAATGGTGATCATGTGACCTCAGGATGCTGGAACTGTCGTAAATACAGGTAGTCCTTGACTTATGACCTTAATTGAGCCTGATTTCCATTGTTAAATGAGACATTTGTTTTGCCCCCATTTTATGATCCTTCTTGCCACTGCAGCAAGAATCACTGTGGTCATTAAGTTAGCCACACCGTTGTGTGAAGTGAGTCTGGCTTCCCCATTGACTTTGTCAGAAGGTTGCAAAAGGGTCGCAAAACATGACCCCCCAGGACACTGCAGCTGTCATAAATACATGCCAGTTGCCAAGCATCCAGATTTTGATCACCTGACCATGGAGATACTGCAATGGTCATCAGTGTGAAAACCGGCCTTAAGTCACTTCTTTCAGTGCTGTTGTAACTTCGAATGGTCACTAAATGAGCTGCTTTAAGTTGAAGACTACCTGTATGTGCAGGTTGCCAAGAGCTCGAATTTGGATACCAATGTGATCATGGGGATGCTTGGATGGTGGCAAGGGTAAGGTCTGGTTGCAAGTCACTTTTTTCAGGGCCTTTGTAAATTTGAATGGCTGCAAATCTAAGACTACTTCGGAGGTGGTATTCAGCAGGTTCTGACAGGTTCTGGAAAACTGGTAGCGGAAATTTTGAGCAGTTTGGAGAACCAGCAAATACCACCTCTGGCTGGCCCCGCCCCCATCTATTCTCTGCCTCCTGAATCCCAGCTGATCGGCTGGGTCTTCTTTGGTTGCCCTGCACAGGAGAACGGAGCAGTATCCTTCCCCTGCCAGGCCCACCAAGCAACGCTCACAGAACCGGTAGTAAAAAAATTTGAATCTCACCACTGGACTACTTGTTTTAGCTTAACATTTTAAGCAGTGCTACTATGGTTAATCTGCTAAAGCCCAGAAAGGCCTACCTTAACTTCCCGTCGAAGCACGCTACAGTAGAAGCAGATATGACTGTTCTTGACGTAGAGGCGGCCATAATAAGGCATCTCTCGTTGCCAGGCACATGAAAATGCTGTGAATCAAGATGAGGAATTAAGGATGAATGAGGATCGTGGGTGACTCAGGAACATAAGAAGCTGCCCTAGCCTGGGGAGGGAATCTACCAGGACATTATATCCCATCAGTGTGATGACTGCTTCACTCATAAAATCCATGACACAGGCACCACCCAGTACTTCTAGCTCAAATTTCCATTCTCTCCCCTAACTGCTTTCTTAAAATGAATTGTGTCTTCCATGTGTTGTAATGTACAATATGTTTTTACTTTTGGGACACAAACAACAAGTCAACAGAAGGATGGGTACTATTTCCACCAATGGATTGATAGCTAGCAGAGGTGATATTCAGCAGGTTCTGACCAGTTCTGGAGAGCCGGTAGCGGAAATTTTGAGTAGTTCGGAGAACCGGCAAATACCACCTCTGACTGGCCCCGCACCCATCTATTCTCTGCCTCCCGAGTCCCAGCTGATCGGCTGGGTCTTCTTTGGTTGCCCTGCAGAGGAGAACGGAGCTGGAAAGCAGGTTAGTGGGGTGGGGAGGGAAGGGGGATTTTGCAGTAACCTTCTCCCTGGAGTGGAGTGGAAGTGGAGATTTTGCAGTATATGCTTCTCCTGCCACGCCCACCAAACCCCACCCCACCCACCACAACATGCCCACAGAACCGGAAGTAAAAAAAATTGAATCCCACCACTGGTAGCTAGGATAAAAAAAAGACTGATTTTAAAAATCCCACATAAGGAGCGAAGGAACAAGGAGACATCCTCCATCATTCCGATGTGGGAAGCCTATGAGAACGATTATGAGAGAATTGGCAGTGTGCTACACCTGCCACATCACTAAATTCCATCTGTTGATTTCCAAAGGCAAATATAGCAATAGCATTTAGCAGTGCCACTTAAGACTTATATACCTCCCCATAGTGTTTACAGCCCTCCCTGAGCGGTTTACAGAGTCAGCATATTTCCCCCAACAATCAGTGACCTCATTTTACTGACCTCGGAAGAATGGAAGGCTGAGTCAACCTTGAGCCGATCAGGATTGAACTCCTGCCAGCGGGCAGAGTTAGACTCTAATACTTCCTTCTAATCACTGTGCCACCACGGCTCTTTCTTAATATTTTTTTAAAGTGTTATCTCTTTAAAACTTATAAAAATGTTAAAAAGGCTAAAAACTTATGAGAGAGCTGTGTTCTAAAATGAGATCTCAAGCAATGCATTTCCTTTTTTAAAAAAAGTTTGTATGATTGTTTTTTACTGCCTACAAAACAGTATTGACTACCTGAAAGGGCTGAGATTCTTGCTGTAGGGAAAGATTTAATCTGGGTTAATGTACAAAAAAAACAGAGAGAGAGAGACGCACAGTTCACACTAATAACAAAAAGCCTAATAAAATACTGCAAATGCAGACTTGGAAAAGAGAACCTCCCATGTCTTTCTTTTAACATGTTCTATGAAGTTCCCTGAAGAATGGATGAAACGCATACACTCGCATGCCAATACCCAGAATGCAATGCGCCCCCCTCCCCGCGCCCCCTGTGCATGCACGTGCAATCCCCCCCCTTACCTGCACTGCACCTCACTGCTGATTTTTCAGCTGGTTTGAGGCCTTTTTCGGCCTCCCAGAGGCTTGGAAAAAACCTCTGCAAGGCTTTTCAGGACAAATTATGGGCCCGTTTTGTCACTTCCGGTATTACAGGAAATGACAGTCAGTCCATCATGAGTTACAGGTAGTCCCTGACTTACAATCATTTGTTTAGTGCAGGGGTCTGCAACCTTAATCACTCAAAGAGCCATTTGGACCTGTTTTCCACAGAAAAGAAAACACCGGGAGCCATTTAACAACCAAGTATGACTGGGTGGGCGTGGCCAACTCGACATCACTCACTCTCACCCCAGTCACCTCCTGCTCTGGAATATGGAGTGAGTTTTCATCCCCTGCCATCACCCTTACTTTCTCAGGCCAGGCAAGGAGCGACGGGGAGGGAAGAGGCCAGCCAGTGGTGAGATCAGCCAACAGGGAGCCACACAGAGGGCCAAAAGAGCCGCATGTGGCTCCAGAGCCGCAGGTTGCAGACCCCTGGTTTAGTGACTGTTCAAAGTAGCAACGGTATTGAAAAAAAGTGATTTATAATCGGTCCTTGCACTTATAACAGTCCGAACATTGCCACAGTCCCATGACCAAAATTTGGCCCCTTGGCAACCAGCATTTATTGCAGTGTCCAGGGATCGTGTGATCATCACTTGCAAGCTTCTCAGCCAGCATCCAACAAAGTCAATGAGGGAAGTCCGCAAAATTTCTCTTGCTTAATGACCATGTGATTTGCTTAACAACCATGGACAAAAAAATGGGCATAAAACCAGGCATGATTCCCTTAAACAACTGCCAGGCTCAGCACTGGGAAATCTGGTCCCAACTGTAGTCATAAGTCGAGGACTATCTGTATAGCATGTTTCCTGATGCGAGAGACTTTAAGAACCACAGAGATGAGAATGGCATCCTACAGGAATCACTTACTTTCCAGGAGGTCCTCCTCTTCAGAGAGGTCTTTGAAGACGCGGCGGAAATTCGTGGCATGTTTCACCAGCTTGAGAGGGGAAAAACGATTACATTTTCAGAGCTTAACTTTTAAAAAACAAACAAACCCAAAACAAAACAAATGCCATCTGCCAAGCGATTTGTCAATTTTGCAAAATTCAATAATAGCAAAGGAAGGCTTCGATAGAGCATCAATGTTTTTGCTGATATTTCAGATTTAGCAAATTACCTTATTAATACTGCTAACCCACTTCTGAGTCCCTTCCATTCATTTCTATGTACCCCACACACCCTCTGCAGAATTTACAAATCTTGCCAATTATTCAGTTACTAGCTGGATACCTGTGCTTCGCTACAAAACTATGTGATCAGGCTTTGTTTGTGGGGAGGAAAATAAGGGGGGGTGGGAATTCTGCCTCTGCCTACCAGCATCCGTTGGTATTCATCTGGCTAGTGTCCTGTCAGTGTGTAAGAGAGTTGAGGGCTGTTTGGAAACTGAAACAGTATTTGCTGTGTGAGCAAGAAGGAGACAGCAAGGAGCTTGGGTGTGGCTTAGGTCAACTGTTCTGTACTAAAGCTGCTTGATGCTGCGAAACTAAAACTCCTCTCCTCTGCTTGTGTTTTGCATTTGGAACAGATTTCTTTTCAGGTGGGGAGGGAGAGTAGAACTCCTTAGCATCGGAGCGTGTTAATAATAATATACAAAATACTAATGCTCTGATGGTCATTTCAAAAAATCCTTTCTTAATGAGCACCTAGAAGCCAAGAGGAACATAGTGCCAAATTTCAAGTTTGTGGGCTTTACGGTTCTGGAGATTTTGTGATGATGCATGTTTCACTCATGCATTTCACTTTGATATATATAGATTCCTAAACTGAAGCAGAGTTAAATTGTGAAAATGCGTGAAAAGAATCCCATGGGGCATGTTCCAATTCTGTCATTCCTGAACTTCTCTATTTTTAAAGCTATATGATCCTAGGACATCTTTGACTGATGAATGGAATATAGCTAGGCCGGCAGTGGGTGGAATCACAAATCTGAAGGAGGCTCAAGATGGACATTTTCTAAGATGCTGTAGCTTAAGAATGAAGAAGGTCAGTGAGACTTAGATGATTCTAGAAAACACGGGCAGTGACCAAAGATACATCCCCAGACAAGATGACCAGACCAGCAAAGAAAGTGTCCTGAAAATAACTTGTGGAAGGAGGTTGAACCATGGTTTGGTGTTGCATAGAAATCCTGCAGCATAATAGAATCCCTATAGCGTATAACAGAGAAAATTCATGTGAGAATGCCCTACTTAACTTCAGCCTAGATAGAAAGCAGCAACAGACTTCTTGCAAAATTTTGGGGTGAGGGAAAAGGTCTGAAGATATCATGATATATCCATAATGGCACAAGTATTTTGAATAGAATAGAATAGAATAGAATAGAATAGAATAGAATAGAATAACAGAGTTGGAAGGGACCTTGGAGGTCTTCTAGTCCAACTCTCTGGTTAGGCAGGACAAATGATTATCCAACATCTTTTAAAAAAACTTCCAGTGTTGGAGCATTCACAACTTCTGGAGATGCAAGTTGTTCCACTGATTAATTGTTCTAACTGTCAGGAAATTCCTCCTTAGTTCTAAGTTGCTTCTCTCCTTGATTAGTTTCCACCCATTGCTTCTTTAGGTGCTTTGGAGAATAGTCTGACTCCCTCTTCTTTGTGGCAGCCCCTGAGATATTAGAAGACTGCTATCATGTCACCCCTAGTCTACACTAAACAGTGAGTTTACAACAGCTTTTGGAAATGTTTTTCACCACAAGCAACCTGCAAAGTAGAGCAATTCTACTAAAATATTCAAGAGGAAGGCAAGATTTCATTATCGCCAGCAAAATCCAAAATGCCCACTGAGTGGCAGCATAGAACTGGTTGTATTTTCACGTAGTCATCATCTGGATTTAAATTCCACGACCATGAAAATCTCCTGCGAAATAAGTTTACTCTAGCACAGATAACAAATCTAAGAATAGCTCCTGCTAGGTTTTTGTACATTAATCTTTGGTAGAAGGTAGGTTCTTCCAGATACAAATAGCCCTCGCTTAATGTCCAATCATTTAATGATCATTCAAAGTTATAATGGACTCAAAAGTTTATTTATGTCATTGAAGTTATGACTGCCCCCGCCCCCTACAATCACATGATCACACTTTGGATGCTTCCCAACTGGCCTGAATTTACAACTGGTTGCAGCATCCTATCGTCACATGACCATGGTTTGCAACATTTATTTTGCTAGGTTTCTGGCAGTTTCAGGCAAAAACTTACTTAATGACCATGCGGTTCACCTAACAATTATTTGCTTAATGACCATGATGACTCATTTTATGACAGCTATAAAAACGGTTGTAAAATTGAGTCAGGTCACATGGTGACCCACTTAATGACCACAATGACTTACAACCAAAATTCCAGGCTCAGTTGTGCTTGTTAAGCGAGGACTTCCTATAGGCAAACCCAAAATAATGCAATGGTGAGCCAGGGCTGCCCCCAAGTGGCAGTAGATAAGTCAGCTTTAGTGTAGAAGTTGAAGTTCCCAAGACTTAAATCTGTGGCATCTTGAATACCACCAACCTCAGCGTCACCTGAAAAAGCTGCTAGGGAGACAGGACACCTGCCTCTCCAAATCCAGGCTCCGTTCCTCCATACTTGATGCACAAAACTGGCCCTGGTGGATTGGAAAATCTAGGCTGGGAAATCAACGCCTCTAAGCAAAGTTAGAATCGGGATAGTTATATCATCATTGGGGCCAGCCCTTGGAAACTTCACCTACCCTAAACTTACATCAGAGACAGAAGTCCTTTTCTGGATAGAAACTGTTTCCTTCTCAACCTCTTTGGAGACAGACGCATCGTATGTTTTGGATCTAAAAGCAGAGGTAGAAACCAAATGGATCAACTGATATTTATTTACTTATCAAATCCATAACTGTTCAGAACAATCTTAAAAGTGGAAGATACCAAGCCAGTTTCAACAAACCTGCTTTGTTCACGCAATATCTTTTGATCGGTCCAGCAGTTACATGCACATAGCACATTAAGCTTGGTTGATTTTAACAGAATAACAGAGTTGGAAGGGACCCTGGAGGTCTTCTAGTCCAACCCCCTGCTCAAGCAGGAGAACCTGTATGCTTCAGGCCAAATCTTTTCTTAAAAACCTCCAGTGATGGAATCCCCAAAAGTGCTTTTCCAAAGGGCAACTGGACTTTGTTTTTCCTTGAAGATGTTTCATTTCTTATCTTAGAAGCTTCTTCACTTCTGAAGTTTCTTGGATGAAAAGCGAAATGTCTTAAAGAAAAAACAAAGTCCAGCTGCCATTTGAAAAAGCACATTTGGGGCAACCACAGCCTGGATGACTGAAAATCTCAAGCCACTGAAAAGTTGCTCTCACGATCAGGAAAATTCTCCCTATTTCTAGGTCAGTTATGGCTTATTTAGACTGTAAACTCAGGCCTTTCAATAGTACAGTATATTTTCTGTGTCTCAGCAAAGATTAATCTAATAACTGGCTTAAATGGATTTCTCCAAGTTGGACTAGAGAGATCATCCACACTACTCATCCTACTTTTCCTCCCCACAGAGCAGTAATCCATGGCCAGACTACAATGCCCATTTTCCCCAGCTAGAATGGAGTAGCTGGCATTAATGGGTTTTCCAATCTGATTCAATTGGGCAGGGATCTTCTCTGCAAGGGCTACCCACACTCACCGAGTCAAAAGTGCATTGTGTTTATTTCGGAGATCCTCGGCGACAAACTCTTCCAGGCTGTAAGATTTTTTCTGCTCTGACATCTTCCTTTTGCTCTTTCGGTTTTTTCCGGACATGTCAGGGATGCAGCTGGGAGAAGAACAAGATTCAGTCAGCTGTGTCATTCGCTCCTCCCTCACCTCCAGCCACAGGTGGAGACCCACCTTCCTCATCCGGAGTCATTCCGGTGACTAACTGCCCGTCACCATCATCCCCAAAGAGAGCAGCTTCCACTGCGCCCATTACACAGATGATTCCCCCTAAGGCTCGGGTGCTATTGTGAACAAGAGCCTTCAAGAACGAGGGAAGGGCCGTAGAAATATGTTAAAACACATTAAATAATGAGAGAGCAGAATCCCTAACCGAGTCTTAAAAGGCCATCACCTGGATAGCGATTAAAAAAAAGTCACCCCGAATTGAACGGTGCTGCTGAAATAGCGAAGATAAAAGTTTTACGGCGGTGAAATAGAGAAGTCCCTTCTTTCTGCCCTCATTCGGTTTGGTTTTGCTTGGCTTTGGATCCCCTGTATCAAGCAGTTTCTCATCGGCCTGTCATTAATCCAAAGCAATTATCGTTCTATCTATTAATTGTGCATTCATAAGTTGCCCTGCCCCAATACAAAACCCTGAGATCTTGGCTGCCAAGCAGATGACAAGAATGGAAAACTACTGCAACTTGGGTGCAACTTGGCATGGCCTTTAACTCTCAATAAAGCATAAAACAGCAATTAGTCTAAGGAACCTCCATGCTCAGGAATAGTCTACCTTTGACTACCAGTTGTTTTGGATTAAGAAGGAATGATCATTCCCTTTGGTTTAGATGAATTTTTCATCTGGCCTATTGACCACTGCCAGATAGGACTGGACATGGGAAACCTTTACCTTTATTAAATCACATCTTCTTAGGAATGCCAATTCTGCTGATTTAGTCAAAGTCAACAGACCCCATGAAGCAAAAATGTTATCGTTGTTGATCTATGTTAGCTAAATAACCATAATAGCCAACTGGAATATCTATGTATGAAGCAGTCTACCTTGTAAAATGCAAGCAACAAAGAACGACTATAAGGGGAAATTTTGTTCTGCAGGTATAATGCTCACTATAGGTAGTCCTTGGCTTACCACCACAATTGTTTAAGTGAATCACACCGTCATTAAACACATCTGACTTCCTCCATTGACTTTGTTTGTCAGAAGTCAGCTGGAAAAATCATAAATGACAATCAGATGACCCCAGGTTGCTGCAACCATTGTAAATCAAGTGAGGTACTAATACCACTCTATAAATCCTTAGTAATACCACACCTAGAATACTGCATCCAGTTTTGGTCACCACATTATAAAAAAGATGTTGAGACTCTAGAAAAAGTACAGAGAAGAGCAATCAGGATGATTAGGGAACTGGAGGCTAAACATATGAAGAACAATTACAGGAACTGGGCATTGCTAATCTAGTGAAGAGAAGGACCAGGGGAGACATGATAGGAATCTTCCAATATTTGAGGAGCTGCCACAGGGAGGAGGGGGTCAAGCTATTTTCTAAAGTACTCAAAAGCCAGATAAGGAATAATGGATGGAAACAGAACAAGGAGAGATTTAACCTGGAAATAAGGAGAAACTTTCTGACAGTGAGAATAATCAACCAATGGAACAGCTTGTCCTCGGAAGTTGTGGGAGCTTCATCACTTGAGGCTTTCAAGAAGAGATTGGACTGCCATTTGTCAGAATTGATGTAGGGTCTCCCGCTTGGGTGGGGGGTTGGACTAGATGGCCTACAAGGTCCCTTCCAACTCTGATTATCTGTTATCTGTTAAATACATTTTAAAGCTCTACAGAGAATAATTAAAACTGCCCAGAATATCATCAGGATCCAGCTACCAGCCCTGGATGACATCTTTGCATCTCGCTGTTTGAGGAAGTTGCACAACATTCTCAGAAACTCTTCCCATCCTGCTCACAAACTTTGTGAACTGTTGCCCTCTGGCAGAAGATAGAGGACAATTAAAACTCGGACCACATGTTTTCTGAACAGTTTTTACCCCAGAGCTATAATTGCACTTAACAATGAACTTACGGACCACCATCAGTGAGCTGTTGGACAGTATTACTTGGTCTGTTGTGTGGATGCTTGTGTGTTTTTAGGGGGCAAGGAATTTTGGCGGACGGGGGTATGTTTGAGGATTGTTGTGTGTGCGTGCGTGTTGGGTCTGGTCTCTGGGTGTTATGTGAATTTTGTTGCATGTATACTGTGTATATGCATACAATGACAAAGAATTCAAAATACATAGCGGTTGCCAAGAGCACAAATTTTGATGAAGTGACTATGGAGATGTTCTGGCAGTCATAAGTGCAAGGGCTGGTTAACAGAATAACAGAATTGGAAGGGAACTTGGAGGTCTTCTAGTCCAACCCACTACTCAGGCAGGAAACCCTATATGTCATTTGTAAGTCCCTTTTTCAGCGCAGTTTTAACTTTCAACAGTCGCTAAATGAACGGCTGTAAGTCAAGGACAACCAGTGGTGGAACTTCCCAATTAGATATTCATGGTGCAAATATACAATTTAAGGAAGAGCAATATCAAATATTAAAAAAGTTGTAATTAAAAAAAAACAAAAAGACCACGTCATGATTACAAACATAAATATATGAACAATGCCACACAAATAAAGGGGATAAAAGAAATCCGGCCTCTGAATAATTTGGAAGATGGAATACCTATTAACTGGAAATTGCCAAGTGTTGGATGAGTGCTTGAGATGCTTTGCAAAACAGGATCTGAAACACAAATCCACCCTGTTGGGTGGCTTCCACATTCCTGAGATCCTTTGGCAAGCCCCAAGGGGTTTGTTCGCGAAGGAAGTTTGGCTGTGGTGTGGATGCACAGCTTCATTTACAGAGCTACCATGTTCCGCCAACTGGCTCGCTTGGCGATTAAGTCTGATCAAAGAAGCACTCTAGTCTCCTCCCAGAGTAGTGATTCCCAACCATGGGGACTTTTAAGATGGGTGGACTTCAACTCCCAGAAATCCCCAGTCAGCAATTCTGGGAGTTGAAGTCCAGCCATCTTAAAAGCATTGTTCTAGACTAGGGGTATCAAACTCAAGAGTGCTTAGATCTGGCCTGTGGGACTGGCCCGGAAATATCAAAGGACTGGCCCGCAGTGCCTCTGACAGCCAAAACAGGGAATGGGGGGCACAGCTCCCCTGCAGCTCGTTTTTGGTTGCCAAAGCGCTGCAGGGAGCTGTGGAGGCTGAAAATGGGGTCCTGGGGGCAATGGTGCGATTCAACTGGTGTAACAACCGGTTTGGTCAGCGCGCGCCAAACGTGCCCTCTGTGTGCATGCTCCGCATTTAAAAAAGCCCATTTTCAACGCTAACACTTACCTTTTACTACAGCCCCTGTGAGTAAAACAGCAGCGGCACAGCAAACTGCTTTGCCACATGAATCAGCTGTGCTCTAAAACAACGAAACAAAGCACAGGAAAGAGCAGGAGTGGGTGGGTGGGGCCAAATGCTCATTGCAACTACCGGTTTGCTCGAACCGGTCCGAACCACTATAATCCCACCCCTGGCTGGGGGCCTGCGTGCGGCCTCCCCCTGCCCTGTTTTGGCCGGCAGGGTGCTGCAGGAAGCACCCATACTTTCTCCCTCCCTCCCCGCCCCCCTTCCCACCAGCCCGTGAAGAACCACCATGCTGATCTGGCCCTCGAAGAAATCCACTTTGTCACCCCTGTGCTAGACAGTGTTAAATAACTACTCCGACCATTTCCAGCTGCCATAGCTACAGGTTCAGCCAAACGGCTCCCAATGGGAGTTAAGGTCCAGCTTGTCCAGAGCTGCCTTTAAATCAGCCTCAACACATCCTGGCAATCCTGGTTTAGCTGTGTTTTTCCATCACAGGGTCAAAATAAGCAGAAAGAGTTGGAACCTTCCATTACTGATAGCAGCCAAAGTGGGTGCTATCAGCAATGGAAGGTTATACAATAAATGACACATCTGCTTCCTTTCCTCTGAACTCAGGACAATAGGAGGCTAGATAACCCTGTTCCACAATGCAGGGACATCACATATCTCTCCAAAAATAGATAAGGCATGGATAACATAGCATCATATAGTATAATGAAACATCTGGGTGTATCAGCTATAGTGCTATCTCTTGTAACTGAGCTATGGATTTCAACCACTTGTACATTGAAGTTTATTTTTAAATTGTTTACAGCTCTAAAACTCATCTCATTTAGTTTTAAAAAGGCCCTAATTTAAAGAGTTAAAAAAGGACCTGAATTTTTCCAGGGAAAAAAGAATGAAAAAGGATGTGATTGCTTTTGCTGCTATCTTTCTGTGGAACAAAAAAAATGGTTATTGCTAAGGACTCTGCAATTCTGATTTTAAATGCTACATTCTGACTATTAAAAAATTGAGAGCAAGCAATTCACACAAAATAAGTAAATCAAAGGAGTCCGTTTCACTGAATGGGATGACTTTGAACCTCTCATTTTTTCTCAGTCATGCTTACCTTACAGGATTATTGTTGTGAGGAAAAAATGAGATGAGAAAGACACACACACACATAAAACACACAAGCAGCATAGTAGTTGGATCCTCTGATGCACAGGAAAGGTTTAAACAAGTCTGCTGCACTTCTCTCCAGTCTCATGCCCTTAAAATATAATGGATTTCAACTACCATAATTCCCAACCTACTTTGGATGGTTACCACACTGGGGAAGGTTTATTGCAATCAGATTCTGATTTCCAAAGCCCAACAGAAGACAATCTCTAGAGTCTACATCAGGGTCCACAAACTTGGCAACTTTAAGACTTGTGGACTTCAACTCCCAAAATTCTGCAACTAGCTATGCTGGCTGGAGAATTCTGGGAGTTGAAGTCCACAAGTCTTAAAGTTGCCAAGTTTGATCTTGTTTGATCTTGAAAAACCAATCTGGGTTGGATGTGGCCTATAACTGGATGAAACACCATCAAGTGATCCCATGCTAGAATAAAAACTCAAAAAATATGACAGAAAAATATGACACAAAATATGAGGAGCACTTCACTCCTTCATTATTGAACCGGTGCCGCTCCCTCTCT